TTCATGTTGTTATTGAGCCTAATATCTCACAATATGACCTCAACCTTCCCATTGCAGTTAGAAAAGGAAAAAGAAAATGCACTGCCTACCCCATCACCAACTATTTTTCTTATGATACTCTTTCACCTTCATATTATGCCTATATTTCTGCTATCTCCTCTGTTTTTGTTCCTTGTAATGTTTCAAATGCAGTGCAGTCACCTCAGTGGAAGGATGTTATGGACCAAGAGATAAAGGCCCTCTTAAAAAACCAAACCACACCTGGGAGCTTGTTCCTCTTCCTGAAGGCAAAGTCCCAGTGGGCTACAAGTGGGTGTATAATATTAAACATTGGGCTAATGGATCAATTAAAAGATATAAAGCTAAGTTGGTGGCAAAAGGATACACCCAAACATATGGGATTGATTATCAAGATACCTTTGCTCCTGTAGCCAAAATGAACTCTATCTGAGTCATTATGTCTCTTGTTGTTCATTATCTATGGCCTCTATACCAGATGGATGTGAAGAATGCCTTCCTAAATGGAGATCTTCAAGAGGAGGTATGTATGGATCTACCCTCGGGGGTAAGCTTCCCTATTAGTGAGGGGAAGGTTTTCCATCTAAAAAAGTCTCTTTATGGACTTAAGCAGTCCCCTAGAACTTGGTTTGATGGATTCGGGAAAGTTGTTCTCAAAATTGGGTTCATACGATCATAGACAGAACATATTGTTTTCATAAGAAGGGCTAGTGGCCAAGTAACCTAGTTGATAGTGTGTGTTGATGATATTGTTGTCACCGGAGATGATCACTCTGGGATAAACCAACTAAAGTCATTTCTTGCTTCTGAATTTGAAATCAAAGATCTTGGGAATCTCAAACACTTTTTTAGAATTGAAGTGGCAAGGTCAAGGGAAGGGATATTCATTTCGCAAAGTGTTGATGGTGGAGATAATCTTCTAGACAAGGGTGTCTACTAGAGACTTGTTGGATGGCTTTTTTACCTGTGCCTGACTCAACCTGATATATCCTATGTTGTAAGCATGGTGAGTCAATATATGCTTCAAGTATGCAGGTTGTCAACAAGATTCTTGCCTACCTAAAGGGGTGTCCAAGAAAAGGAATGTTRTACTCCAACCAAGGACATCTCGAGATCGAGGCCTATACTATTGCTAATTAGGCAGGTTCTATGGATGATAGAAGATCCACCTCCGGTTGTTGCACCTTGGTAGGTAATGTTGTGTCTTGGAGAAGCAAAAAACAATTTGTTGTTGCCCAATCTAGTGCTAAAGCCGAGTATAGAGCTATGGCCCATGGTGTATCAGAATTACTATGGTTGAGTATAGTGCTAAGGTTACTATGCCTTACAGGTATTGTTCTCATTTCTCTTTATTTTTAGTTTGGGCGTCCATATAGGAACATAGATGTAATTACTATCTTTAATATAAAAAGCAATGTTTTGGGTGTAACAGTGAAACACCCTCTTCTCCCGTAACCTTTCTTCTTCTTTTCCTTCTCTTCTTCTTCCTCTCATTTTATCCTCTTCCTCCCACACTCTTGGGCCCCGTTCGTTCATTGGTAAATAAGCTTGGGAAAGTTGGTCAATGGGTATCTTTTTCCCATTGACCAACTTTACAATGTTCTTTTTGCATTTACAAATGGGCTCCACGGTAAAATAAGCTCCACTTCCTCGGGTAAAACTTGCCCATTTCCCACCTGGGGGAAACTTTATAAAGCATAATGGGACAACTTTTCCCTTTTTATATTAGCTTTTTATGAGTAAAAATGCCATTCGATTACTTACATGGGAATCCTGGAAATCAAAAGAACATGGGTAAGTATACTTACCTAGGTAAATGTTACCCAAGAAACATTTACTTGGGTAAGTAAGTTACAAAGATGCAAACGAACAAGGCCTTACAACTAAACACAAGGCCAATGGGACTGTTCAGAGGTATAAGGCTAGGTTGGTTGCAAAAGAGTACACACAGGTATATGGGATTGCAGAACCCTTTGCCCCAGTTTCTAAAATGAACATTATTCAGATCATATTATCCTTGGTTGTTAACTTTGACTAGGAACTTGATCTAGAAGAAGTGTATAAGATTCAGCCACCCGGGTTTATAGCACAAGGATGTGAAGGAAAAGTCTACAAACTGAAAAAATCAATATATGGGCTAAAGCAATCTCCTAGGGCCTGGTTTAGCAGAGTTCAATTGGCTCCTCAACAAATTGGGTTCAAGTAGTGTCAGTTTGATCATACTCCATTTATAAAGAGAAACCAAGAAAAGGTTGTGATTCTAATCTTGTATGTAGACGACATAGTAATTATAGGAAATTGGGACTCTTAAATACAAAAAGTAGAACAATCCCTTGTGAAATTTGAAGTTAAGGACCTAGGACAGTTACGTTATTTCCTTAGAATTAAGGTTGCCCATTCTCAAAAGGGCATCTTCATTTATCAAAGGAAATATGTCCTAGATCTCTTATACAGGAAAGTTGGGAGCAAAGCCTACGGATTCCCCCATTGATAAAAATCATAAACTTGGTGATTGTACTAGAGAACTTGTGACAAATGTCAAGAAATTTCAAAGGTTTAGTAGGAAGACTCCTCTATTTATCGATGACACAACCGAATATAGCATATGTTCTTGGTGTCCTCAATAAATTTATGCATTCTCCAAAGACTTCCCATTTGGAGGCAACAGAGAGAGTCCTAAGATATCTAAAGAAGATTCCAGGGAGTGGCATTTTGTTCAAGAAGCATGGTCAAATGAAAGTGGAAGTCCACACGAATGCAGATTGGGTTGATGCAATTGATGATAGGAAGTCTACTAGTGGATATTGCACCTTTGTTGGTGGAAACTTGGTAGTGGCCAGATCCAGTGTTAAGGCTATAGAAATATGGCTCATGGGGTTGCAGAAGTGCTTTGGGTCAAAATTTTGATTGGTGAATTGGGCTTCTCTGTTGATAGTCCAATGTCCCTTTACTGTGCAAACAAGGCAGCCATTAATATTGCAACCAACCCATTTCTTCATGACAGGACCAAGCATATTGAAGTTGACAAGCACTTCATAAGAGAAAAACTTGAGAAGGGAGAAGATCGTACTTCTTACATCAGTTCCAAGGAACAACTAGCAGACGTTCTTACAGAAAGTCTTCACTACTTACAGCATAATGAATTGTGTAACAAGTTGAGCATGATTAGGGTTGTAATCGGATCAAACTCGGATTAGATGCAACAAAATCCACATCCAATCCAATTACTGATACATACATGATACATCCGAATCCGATCAGATTTAAAGATTTGGATTCAAATCTGACTCCGCTATAAATTTTCTAAAATACCAGAAAAATTAAAAAATTATTTATATGTTAATAGAAAGAGGGAGATATGGCTTGCGTAGAAGAGGACTCCGAGCTGCAGTATTGGACTTCACCAAAAAATTACATATATAAGTGGGTTGCCCGAGAAGAGGACTCTGAGCTGCGTAGAAGAGGGAAATATGGGTTGCCCGAGAGCAACCCACAAGATCATTTATAAATCGATCAACAGTTGAATCTGTATCACTTGCAACCTATTGAACAACCTCACTTGACTCTTCACATGACCCTTCCTCGACAACTTCCCCTGAAACATGATCCTCTAACTCCAGATATCTAACCTTAACGGTTTCACAAACCAAAACTTCCTCTGCTTCTTCCTTTCTACTCAGGTCAAAGAGAAAAAGTCTTGTGCTTAATTTTCTTACTTTAATACTTTCTCGGATGCCAATCCACAGCAACCCAATTCAAAAGTTCCTCCTCTTCTAGCTCAGCATTAGCAAAATGACCTACTAAGCAGGCCTCTAACTGCCTAACTTGATCAAGATTACACCAGTCTAGCTTTGCGAACACTTCCATGCCAGAGAGCTTCATGTGACCAGATCTTACCAAGCTATCACTTATAACCATCTTAGGAATACAACTGAATGAACAGTTTATACTACTCCCCAAGGATTTGGCTTCCCTTACCAATGCTCTATGGCTCCATGGAGATTCTTCTTCAGAATTTAGCAAAGAAATAACAATTAGACAATCTCCTCAAATTATTACATTATGCCATCTTTGTTGCACCAGTAGCTTCACATTCTTCACATTATGCCATCTCCTCAAAGAGGCTGTTAATATCAATCAGTGGTCTCCTCATGATAAACAATGAAAAAAAAAGCTTCTTTAAACAACAGATTAAGGGACAAGAGATTAATAAGGAAGCCTGTATTCCAGGGGAGCTAAAAGCTTTAGCTAAATTGGGGGATTCCACTTTCTAGATAACCATTATACAGACAGTCCTAACTACCATAGTGAAGATTCTATTGCAAACATTGTTTTAAAATGTGGATGTACATCTAGGTCCCAACACCTTTCACATACAGCCCAATTTGATTTTTTGTGCCAGGACCCCCCACCCCCCTTCAGCTAGAGTTATACATCATCGTTCTTTTTTAGTACAAGAAATATTTCATCAAAAAGAAGCAAGAACTTCGTCTTCTTTTTCCTCCTCCTTCCTCTT